GGCTCAGGCAATCCACTCACCTCAGCCTCCCAAAGGCGCGGGATTACAGGCTGAGCCACCGAGCCTGGCTTATTTTTATTTTAGAGACAGGGTCTGGATCTGTCACCCAGGCAGGATGGAGTGCAGTGGCACAATCATAGCTCACAGCAGCCTCAACTGCCTGGGTTCAAGCGATTCTCTCACCTCAGCTTCCTAAATCACTGGGACTAATTTAAAATATTTTTGTAAAGATAGGGTCTCCTGGCCAGGTTCGGTGGCTCAGCCTGTAATCCCAGCACTTTGGGAGGCCGAGGCGAGTAGATTGCCTGAGCCCATGGATTCGAGACCAGCCTGGCAACTTGGCAAGACCTCATCTCTACAATAAATAAAAAAAATTAGCCAGGTGTGGTAGCATGCGCCTGTAGTTCTGGCTACTTGGAAGGTTGAGGTAGAAGGATCGTTGAAGCCCAGCAGGTTGATGCTGGGGTGTCTGTGAGTATGCCACTGCACTCCAGCCTGGGCGACGGAGTAAAGCTCCAACTCCAAAAAAAAAAAAATAGACTCCTTATGTTGCCCAGGCTGGTCTTGAACTCCTGGCCTCAAGTGATCCTCCCACCTGGGTTTCCCAAAGTGCTGAGATTAGAGGCATGAGCTATTACGCCTGGGCCAGAGTCAATGTTTTTGTGGTGCAGATAAGTCATTCTCTGCGACAATGACCTCACTCTGCTGTAGTGACACAAAAGCCACCATAGACACTAACAGGTGGACGTGCCCATGTGACAATGAAACTTTACTTCCAGACACTGACATTCGGCTCTCATGTCATTTTCACGGGTCATGAAATATGAATCTCACTTTGAGTTGTTTTCTTTTTCTTTCTTTCTTTGTTTTGAGTCAGGGTCTGACTCCTTCATCCAGGCTGGAGTGCAGTGGCACAATCACGGCTCACTACAGCCTCGTCCTCCTGGGCTCAGGTGATCCTTCTGCCTCAGGCTCCTGCGTAGCTGGGAATACAGGTGCCACTGTGCCTGTCTACTTTTTTTAATTCTGTAGAGATGAGGTCTCGCTATACTGTCCAGACTGATCTGGAATCTCTGGGTTCAAGCAATCCTCCCATCTCGACCTCAGTGCTGGGATTATCAGTGTGAGCCACTACGCCTGGTTTACTATGATTTTTTTCCAACCATTTAAAAATGTGGAAACTATTCTTGGCTCATAGGGTCATACAGAAACAAGCAGCAGACCAGTTTTGGCCACAGGCTAGTTTGCCAACTCTTGTTCTTGGGGAACCTCCTAATCTTTCTGGACTTTGAAATAGAGGTGGGCATCCCTGCTGGACAACCACAGGGACAGAATGAGGCCAGGTGAGAGGCTAGTGTAGGAACGCTTTGCACACAGGGATGAGCCAGGCCATGCAACCCCTACTGCTAGGTTCTTCCAGTCTAGCAGGGAAATGTGACAGTTAGGTACCACAAGAAATTGTGGCTGGTGTCATGACAAGACAAGAAGAAGGGGCTATGCCACTCTGGAGGCCGAGCTGGGGGAGGATCCCTTGAGCCCAAGAGTTCGAGGCCAGCTTGGGCAGCATAGTGAGATCACCAACTCAAAAAAAAAGAAAGAAAGAAAAGAATAAGGGACTATAGAGTAATGTCACAGGCTTCTCTTTTTTACTTCAGGGCAGTCAGGGAGGATGTTCCAGTGCAGGTGACCAATAGCTGCTCCACGCCCTAACCTTTACAAAGCTATTTCCAGGGGCCAAGGGCACATTAGACCAACACTGTCTCGTAATATGTGCTACATTGTGAATTTCTGGTGACCCTCTTTAAAAAGGTAAAAAGAATCAGGTGACATTTATGCTAATAATGTATCTTATTTATCCCAATCCATCCAAAAACTCAACATGAAATCAGCATAAAAATTATTCCTAGCCAGGCGTGGTGGCTCGTGCCTGTCATCCCAGCACTTTAGGAGGCAGAGGCAAGTGGATTGCCTGAGCTCAGGGGTTCATAACAACTTGCTTGGGCAATTTGATGAGACCTCGTCTCTACAATAAATCAAAAAAATTAGCCAGGCATGGTAGTGCATGCCTGTGGTTTCAGCTACTTGGAAGGGTAAGGCGGAAGGATCACCTGAACCCAGCAG